CCATCAAATTTTCTCTTTACTAAACTATTCCATCAAGTTTTCTCTTTATAAACTATTCCATCAAGTTTTCTCTTTACTAAACTATTCCATCAAGTTTTCTCTTTACTAAACTATTCAATCAAGTTTTCTCTTTATAAACTATTCCATCAAGTTTTCTCTTTACTAAACTATTCCATCAAGTTTTCTCTTCACTAAATTATCCCGAAATGTAAGGAACTTAATTTAAACTCTAGCTATTGCTCATCGGGGATATGTCCCCTTTCATAACAGACAACTGGTTGGAACCCCCTGCCTCCCCTAATCTCTGTGGTAGATGGTGTGTTAGTGGTACGAGGACCCCCATTTTGAATGCCCTGCTTTAGATGGCTGTTTATAAATAGTTTTAAGGACATTGTGTGTGCTCTAGTGAAAGAGGTCATGTGGTGAGAAACATTTCAGGTGCCGTTGGAAGGAAACGTGTGTATCATGCGAGGACAGAAGGTTTGTTTGGTCTGCTAAAGAGGTCTGCTCTAGAGGTCTACTATGGAGGTCTGCTATAGAGGTCTACCATTGAGGTCTGCTATAGAGATCTGCTATAGAGGTCTACCATAGAGGTCTGCTATAGAGGTCTGCTATAGAGGTCTGCTATAGAGGTCTGCTATAGAGGTCTGCCATAGAGGTCTGCTATAGAGGTCTGCCATAGAGGTCTACTATAGAGGTCTGCTATAGAGGTCTGCTATAGAGGTCTGCTATAGAGGTCTGCTATAGAGATCTGCCATAGAGGTCTACTATAGAGGTCTGCTATAGAGGTCTGCCATAGAGGTATGCTATAGAGGTCTGCCATAGAGGTCTACTATAGAGGTCTGCTATAGAGGTTTACTATAGAGGTTTGCTATAGAGGTCTGCTATAGAGGTCTGCTATATAGGTCTACCATAGAGGTCTACTATAGAGGTCTACTATAGAGGAGAGGGTGTCCATAGAGGTCTGCTATAGAGGTCTGCTATAGAGGTCTGCCATAGAGGTATGCTATAGAGGTCTGCCATAGAGGTCTACTATAGAGGTCTGCTATAGAGGTGTACTATAGAGGTTTGCTATAGAGGTCTGCTATAGAGGTCTGCTATATAGGTCTACCATAGAGGTCTACTATAGAGGTCTACTATAGAGGTCTGCAATAAAGGTCTACCATAGAAGTCTACTATAGAGGTCTGCTATAGAGGTCTACCATAGAGGTCTGCTATAGAGGTCTACTATAGAGGTCTACCATAGAGGTCTGCTATAGAGGTCTGCCATAGAGGTCTACTATAGAGGTCTGCCAAAGAGGAATGCCATAGAGGTCTACTATAGAGGTCTGCTATAGAGGTCTACCATAGAGGTCTACTATAGAGGCCTGCTATAGAGGTCTGCAATAGAGGTCTACTATAGAGTTCTGCCATAGAGGTCTGCTATAGAGGTCTACCATAGAGGTCTGCTATAGAGGTCTGCTATAGAGTTCTACCATAGAGGCCTGCCATAGAGATCTGCCATAGAGGTCTGCTATAGAGGTCTACCATAGAGGTCTGCTATGGAGGTCTACCATAGAGGCCTGATTGACAGCTTTTTAGCTATTAATGCACATTTCGGTTCAGTAAAAGACATGGTATATTGTTTGTGTGTTTACGCAAGGTGCATGTGTCTCATATAAAAGAGCCGTGTGTCTTTATGTAATATTGAACTCGATGGATGAAAAAAAAATACAAATGTATTATATTCTTGATCTTTAATATGCCTGCCACTATTAATGTTTCAGAAAATAGTCAATTTACAACACGGGAAATTCCTTTCCGTCGAAATAGTTCAATTGAATGTGTTGTAAAAAAAAAAAATTGAAGAATCTTTGTATTAATTATTTCTAGTAGGATTCTTCAAGTTTTGTTGCTTGGTCATGTAGGAGGATTGTTCAATGTCGTTTTACTTTGTCATGTAGTAGGATCATGTCATTTGTGGTAGTTTATTTTAGTTAAACATAAGAACTAAGTTTACAAACATGTAGCGCATTCAATTATTTTTTCATTTGATACCAAATTTTGTCTTGCAAACCCAACGATAGTTTTTGAATTTATTTTTTAATAAACCCAAACTCTCACTTCTCGGACCCGGGTCCGAATAGCCGCAGCCAAAAAATGAAATTCCCTGACGACCAAATTGGTTTGTAGACTCTCGCCAAAAACCCGCCCCTTGGCTCTGTCGCCTACTGTTATAATTATGCTCTCTTTCTTGTGCGTCTTATTGTGCCACCACATTGCGCGTAACGCGACATTTAGATTCGGCGAACTTTAATGTACTGACGGGTATGCGAATGGGGGAGGGCGGGGGGGAGGGGCGGGGCGAAAATTTGTATCTAGGGATTTCACAAATTTAACATTATAAAATGTTCCTGTAAAACACTGGACTCTATTATTATCTTACGACAAAATTTAAACTTGGTGAACTCAAATCAGGACATTGTCGCGGTCTTCTAATAATTTAATTACATGAAATGTCTATGTAACAGATTTTTATAACTTTTTCTACATACGTGTTTTCAAAAGAATGTTAAAACGCTAACAAAAAGAATTGAATAAATTTTTTTTTTTTTAAATCACCATCACAAATAACAAAATTTAACACCATTCAAATCTAAAACCATAAAATCTAACATCACAAAAACTAACACCATGAAAACCAACACCATTAAACCTAACTGCCTCAAATCTAATACCATTAAATCTTATAACACTACAAAAACGAACACCATCACAACTAACCGTATCAAATGTAACACCACAAAAACTAACGCCATCTAAACTAACGCCATCTAAACTAACGCCATCTAAACTAACACCATCTAAACTAGCGCCATCAACTCTAGCATCACAAACACTGACAATATCAAAACTAGTTCCCGAGGCGAAACCTATCAGCAAGACTATCAATACCAAGTTTCGAAACATATCGGATTCTCTTTAAAAATTTATTTTTGAAAGTGTTTTTTAAGCAAAGGACTGTAAAAAAAAAAATATGCCCATTACGACGAAAAACGCCAATTATTTATGTGAGCAATACTTTTTCTTATATAAGTTGTCCAGCTGCGACAGCGCTAAAATTACAATCAAACCATGCAGCTCTATAAATTGTAATTGGGGGGTATCTTTCTACCTATAAATATCTATTTTAAAAAAGAGCACTTTATATTAGTGTATCTGGTACAATCGTGGAGTTGTTTATTTATTAAGTCATTCTGGAACACTAATGGAGTACCTGTTAAGTAGTTCAGGTACAACCGTGGAGTTGTTTATTAAGCCTTTATGGATCACTAAATGGAGTAGCTGTTAAGTATTTCTGCTACAATCGTTGAGTTTTTTATTAAGCCAATATGGAACACTAATGGCATGGGTGGACTGGGCCGCCGGGACACCGGGAACATTCCCGATGGGCCGCTAGGACCGGTGATTTAATACAAATAAAAGTCATGAAGATAGGGCCGTTTTTTATTTTGTTCCCGGGCCGCTTGAACTCCCCAGTCCACGCCTGACTAATGGAGTAGTTTTTTAAGTAGTTCTGCTACAATCGTGGAGTTGCGTATTAAGTCTATAAATTGATCGTGTGCCTTTAATAAATAGAAGAAGATTATGGTTGTTATGAAGAATACAGACATGGACCATACTACAAACAACATACGCAGACAGTGTGTCATAGTTAGCAAACTGCAATCTAACCTGCAGGACAGACTTTTGTCGCAACGTTATACTGTCACAATGCCACGTTGTCCTATTGTACCCTTTTTTTCATATGATTCTATGTTGTCGTATTATGCCATGTTGTCAAACTATACTGTGTTGTCATACGATTTTATGTTGTCATATTATGTCATGTTGTCATTCTATACTAATGTTATCATAATGTTACGTACCGTTATATGGCGTTATCAAATGTAACCATGTGTAAGCTGTGGCGCGTGTGTTAACTGAGATCTGGAGACAAGTGAACTAAGAAAGGTGAAACCAAAGCTGTTCATACTAACAATAGTGAATTTAACTGCACTTTTAAATGTATATAAAAATTAAAAAACAAAAAAGACAGAAATAAAAGCAATACCAACTTGCAGCACAGCCAGTGAACAAGCGAAAGTCTCAAAAGATACAACTGTAATTGTGCACACTACTTAAGGAGTACAATCTTGTAAAATTTGTCAAGGAAAAATAACGAAAATCTCTTCCCCGGGATGGCAGCGACGTCGTTGGGTTTTTATTTGAATTTGCAGATTTTTATTTAAATTGCTATGCACTGTGGCGCCTCCAGTGATAAACAACTTAAGAAGTCGACCAAGTTTTGGTTTGCCCCCCCCCCTCTCCTCTTCGACAAAAAGTGTCTATGGGACTATGCACCTCTTCCGGTCGCCACAGCTAGTTGATTTATTAAACGTATAAATTATTTATGTTTAAATTACAGGTATGATGAGAGCGCTTTGCGTAACTGGATTGTGTAGGACAAACCAGGAAGTCCTAAGATGTAAGTAAAACTATAACCGAAGGAAAGAATTTGTGTCGCAATCTCTCTTAAACAATGACACAATTTCAAATAATTTCTTCGGTAACAATTCATGTAAATTGTCTTATCATTCAAGAGAAGTTTGCCGTTCTCTGATCTAAGACAAGGGTTTTGAAATGTGATTATTTATTCAATTTCAATAATTTATAAATTCATCGAAACCATAATTTCAGGTAAGAGGCGAAGTCTGAAACTTGTACTGCTCATCCTCGTCACGTGGATCTCAGTTTTCTCCTTTGGGTATATTTACGAGATCGACGTCCTTGACACGGAGATCATCTCGTGGGTAGCATCCAGCAGTAGAAAATACATTTCTTATCGTGTGAATAGCTCACAGGAACTTTTTCTAAACGGCACTCTTACAGTCGTCCGCAAGTCTTTTCCCAGACACCCACTAGCAAGTAATCGAGGTACAATCAACCATTTCCAAACGGGGTACGGAAATGACTCGGTTCAAACTGTTAACGATTTTCAAAAGAATCGATCCGAATCGGAGCGGGAATGCACGTTTCCGGATATCGATCCTTTTGATCCGGCGATACAGAAAATGGTCAAGAAATACCCGACCGTCAACTGCACCAGATTCACACCCAACTTGGTGTACCTGTCCGGCGATCTCCTCAAAGTCAGGTTACCGAGCTCGACCAGGTGGCTGAAGAGGTTGCAGCTGTTCAAACAGTGCCGGTACTCGGCGCGGGTACGCAACGCGGACCGAGACGGCGACCGTTCGACCAAGACCGTGTACACCAGCCCCTATTTCGATGACGTCATCCAGCTCAACGAGACCGACGACTACGTGGTCGTCGAGTGCTACGACAAGTTCAACCACGTCATCTCCCGTTCGTACATCCACCGGATTCGCAAGAAGCTCGCCACGGAGGCCGAGCTGAGGGTCAGCTACGAGAAGCACGTCGGAGTCCACGCGCCGAGGGAAACGCTGAGCGTCATGATGGTGGGTATCGACGGGATGTCCAAGCAGAACCTGCAGCGCTCCATGCCGAAAACGCGGAACTTCCTCCTCGGGCCGCTCAAGGCGATCGAGCTGCATAAATACAACAAGATAGGCCTCAACACGTTCCCCAACGTCGTCGGACTCCTGATGGGCAAGCACGAGCACGAGATGAACTTCTCTTACTCGCAGCCTTTCGATTCGCTCAACGACGAATTCATCTGGAGCGAGTACCGCAGGGCCGGCTACAGGACGGCCTTGACATTTGACATGACGGGGATCACGGCTTTCCACTATCTGAAACTAGGCTGGAAGAAGTCGCCAGTGGACTACTATTTCAGGGAGATGGTCATCGATTCGGAGCCCGACACGCTCATGCGTAACCAATACCAGCGATGTTTGGGGGAAGTGCCTGAGGTCGACGTGCTGAACGACTACTTTATTCAGCTGGCGAGCATCTTCAACAACTCAAAGACGGAGCCGTATTTTGCGTACAGGTACAATGTTTAAAACATGTCTTGATAGAGCGGGAAATATTCAAGGACATAAGACCTAAAGAGAAGTTTTTTTGGGTTATTTTTTAGAGATTTAGTTTGCGTGCCTCATACACACAAAAATGTGTTCCATTATATTTTTGTTACTATAATGCCAAGTATTTAACTACTTATAAATGAAGACGTACGCATAATACATTAAGCCCTACACGTTGTAAACAAAAGAATGCCAATATGACGAATAAGTTAATAAGGATGGCGTCAAGATGTATTTCTATAGCCAGCGAATTCCCAAAACTGACCCCCCCCCCTTTCCCTTAGAAAGATAATATACAATCTTTAAAACACTAGTTGAACGTACTTTTAACATCTCCACCCCCACGCTTGACCTACTCGATCAGTTTCGCTGCCCGTTTGACCCACGATGACCTGAACCAGGCCAGTGCTGGAGATGAACTCTACTACAACTTCTTCAACACTCTGGCCGAGCGGGAAGTTCTAAACAACACCGTGCTGGTCTTCTTCAGCGACCACGGTGAGAGATTTGGAGCGATACGGTAGGTAACCTGTGAATCCACGTTACTCCGCTCATCCGGGCTGTTTATTAATATATCTGCTAAATAAAACTCAGTGTGACTATGTGTGTTTGTTGGCTTGTAAAGGGGTTGATCAATCACATGAAAACCAAACAATGGATCACAACCAACTTTGACTTCGTTATGCCTTTTGACCTATAGATGTTTCCTGGAAATTTGGGTCACACTAAAAAAAAATAAAGTATTTTCCAGCAAATTCTATGTAGTTCCTCTTAGATGCAAAGATTATGAAAATTTTCAATAAACGTTTCTAAACGTTTCTTCAAATTTTAGTTTAGTTTTCATGTTAGATTTCTCTAACGTTCCTGTTAATTTACTCGGTGTCGTTAAATATATCTTCTATAATTTAAAAAAAACAAAAAAAAAAAAAACAAACAATTTCCACGTTATTCTAAAACGTTATATTTTTTATATTGGTTTTAAAACTATATAAATTTTTATTATAAAATTCCTTATAAGTATTTTAAAGTCTGTATGGTTTTTCCTCAAAAATATGAAATAAGATTTAAAGACATTTGTGAAGATTTTTCAGTAAGATTCGAATGAGTGTAGGTGGTTCTACGAAGAATCTTTCTTTTTAAGAGCCAACGCTGTGCATGAGTGTGTAGGTTACAATGCAAGCTTCTTCTTAAACCCATTTAATAATTCTTTTGGTTCCCAGGGGCGAAAAAAAAAGGGGGGGGGGGTTCAATAGTAAAATTTTAATAGGCAAAATATTCTTACATTTAGATTTAAATGGAATAAATTTGAAAAAAAAAGGAAGTCATTTTTTTTCATATTGCCCAGCGTACTTACGGGATAACTACACCAGAGCCTTTTGAAATGGGTTCCTCGCGGGTATCCTAATTCATTTAAATTGAATAAATGGCCATAGCTTTGGCCTAGGGGAATATCTTTTTTTTTTTAAATACGTCTTTTAAAAGTTACATAGGTCTTTAAATTTTTTTGGTTGGGTGGGGGGGGGGGGTGTTAAATATTAACTGAAAATAAGTGGGGCCTAAATTTAATGTTTGCGAGGGTTTTTTAAAAAATGGGTTGTATGTTTTTAGGAGAAAAAATTTTCATTCTAATTCGTACTGCAGCACAGTGTTATTGTCAGGGCACTTTAGAAGTTGTTTTTCCGATAACAAACCCGAGCACATTCCACTTGCTGCTGCCCTATAGGATGCTCCATTTCAGATTAGTGTTACTTTAGTGTAATGTTTTTACCGTTGTTTGTTCGTTGATGAAGGCTTCTTGTCGATACGTTCGTTGTTTTGTTGCGTTCTTTTTTTTTCCCGGGTTTTCCCATACTTTGTTTCATTTATATCCCTGCATCAAAAGCGAGACCTGCCTGAAAAATAACCTCCCCCCCCCCTTTTCCTCCTCCTCCTCTTCTCCACCCACCCCCTTTTTTATATTTTTTCCGTGTTATATTTCTGAAGACAGCCGTTAAAGGTAATTAAATTATTTTGATAACTCATCTCCCAGGTCCACTTACAACGGAATGATTGAAGGCCGGACGCCACATCTGCTCCTCGTCTTCCCGCCCTGGTTTCACGCCAAGTACCCGCACCTGATGGACGTGCTCAGAATCAACCAGCAGCGTCTCACGTCCCACTTCGACGTCCACGCCACGCTCAGGGACTTGCTGTACTTCAAAGGCGAGACCGGCCCGGGCAACATCACCCACAGGGGCATCAGTCTGTTCAGGGAGATTCCCCGCCTGAGAACGTGCCGCCACATGGGCGTGTCCGAGGAGAACTGCGTGTGCAATCATCTCTCTCCTCACGCGAAGGTCGACCCGAACCTGGCGCAGTTCCTTGCCATGACCCTGGTCAACAGGGTCATGGACTACACCAACCAGTATCGCAAGAACTGCTCCGCGCTGACCCTGAAAAGCATTGAGACTGTCATGACGATAAGCACGCCGGAAAATTCAAACGAACGGTACCAGCTGACGATAACCACCGAGCCGGGGTCGGCGCTCTATGAAGGGGTTGTGGAGATGACTCAACTCAAGAAGGCGGATGTGATAGGAGATGTGACGCGCCTAAACATGTACAAGGGCCAGGCGGAGTGTATCCAAAATGCATTCCTAAGACAGTTCTGCTACTGCCATTCCGAAAGTTAACGAAGGCCAATAGATAGGTAATTAAATTGAGTACGTGAAGGAAATCTTCGGGAAAATACGTGAACCTGAGAGTTGCGTCAGCGTACCCGTTTTCTTCGCAGCTTTTATAGAGGCTCTACCAGTTTTAACCCCCCCCCCTCCCTCCCATTGGGCCGTATCGGTCTGAATTACTAAAGCAGGGGTCCTCAAAATGCGGAATGCAAAAGTTAACGAAGGCCAATAGATAGGTAATTAAATTGAGTACGTGAAGGAAATCTTCGGGAAAATACGTGAACCGGAGAGTTGCGTCAGCGTACCCGTTTTCTTCGCAGCTTTTATAGAGGCTCTACCAGTTTTAACCCCCCCCCTCCCTCCCATTGGGCCGTATCGGTCTGAATTACTAAAGCAGGGGTCCTCAAAATGCGGAATGCGGGCCAGATCTGGCCACCCAGGGGTCCTTAATCCAGCCCGCCGTAAAGTTACGTGGCAGCGACAAATACGGAACCAGACATTGATCATCTCATTCGACTTATATCTCTTTGAAATACTAATGAGTTTATGTTGGATATATTTGTGTATCTTCATTTTAAACATGTTCTTTTTTTTCCAAGTTCTTTCTTTTTCAGTAAAAATGACATATGGGCAGTGTTTTAGAATTCAATTTTTTATTATTTTTTTAACAATAGGCCGCCCCCCCCCCCCCGATAGTGTCTCAGGACACTGATTTGGCCCTAGTTTAAGGACCCCTGTTCTAAAGGGTGAGTGAGATTTCTATCTACACTCCGAACCTAACATCCATTGGACCCTAAGACGTATAAACGACCGCCCATTAAAATAAAAGTTTGTTTGGGGGGGTGGGAGTGGGATAGCGGATGGCCTCCACCAAAAATGTGAGGGTGGCTGGGGAGAAACGGCTGCTTAAGGACTTTCCCTTCAGGTGTAGAGTGTGATCTATCACCAACATTATCCTCAGCCTGCCGTTCAAGCCGAAAACCTACCATCGTGTGAGGCCGTTGTCATTGAACCCACGGGGTGTGTCTCCCAAGGGTAGGAGCGTCCTGCTCTTCCATTCATGAAATCAGCAGTGCTCACGAATGACTCAGTGTCCAGAAAGAAATGAGGTCTTTCAAGTGTTTCATTCTCGTTGTGAGCAGACATATTGAACACAATTGTCACATTTGAATCATTGGGGGGGAGGGGGGGGAATGTGATAGTTGACCTACATTCGCTTGCGAGTCACAAATCAAATTTATTGGTTGGATGTAATATTTACACCCACCTTGTTGTATTTAATGTTTACACGTGATTTTGTTGTTGAAATATTTACAGTTATCTAAGATGAAATATTTATACGGATCTTGCCTGATTAACAAGTTCAGTGCGAATAATTGCGATGCACTATTTACTCCTTTTTTTTTAGGCTAATATTAACCTTTACATAATCGATGATGTAACATTTACAACTCTTTATAAATTTGTTTTATGGTTGTAGTTTACGTTTTTCATTGAATGTAATATTTACATTCTTGTGCATTTACGAAAATAATGTTGCATTTTTTCATTGTTCCTCCGCTTCACTTTTTGTTTGTTTTAAACTCATAAGACTGACCTGTTTGTTTTGTCCTCCAGGAAGCTAATTAATAGGTCTTTCAAGCGGAAGCATAGGATCTTTTTAATGAGTCGAGACAAGCGGTTGTTGATTGAATAAGTTACGTTTGATAGGATGTACATGTTGAGTCTGATGTCTGAATGTAGGCTTACATGCTACAGCTGATGTTCGGGTACAAATGTCGAATCTCATGTTTGGGTGTACACGTTGAATATGGTGCTTGGGCGCACATGTTGAAACTGATGTTGGGGTGTACGTGTTGAATCTGACGTTTGAATGTACATGTTGAATTTGATGTTTAAATGTACATGTTGAATCTGATGTTTAAATGTAGGCCTACATGTTGAATCTGATGTTTAAATGTACATGTTGAAATTGATGTTTAAATGTACATGTTGAATCTGATGTTTAAATGTACATGTTGAATCTGATGTTTAAATGTACATGTTGAATCTGACGTTTGAATGTACATGTTGAATCTGACATTTGAATGTACATGTTGAATCTGACGTTTGGGAGTACACATTGAATATGGTGTTTGGACGCACATGTTGAAACTGATGTTGGGGTGTACATGTTGAATCTGACATTTGAATGTACATGTTAAATCTGATTATTAAATGTACATGTTGAATCTAAAGTTTGAATACATATTTTGAGTCTGATGTTTGAATGTACATGCTGCACCTGATGCTTGGGTACATATGTTGAATCTGATGTTTAGGTGTACATGTTGAAATTGATGTTTGGGTGTACATGTTGAAATTGATGTTTGGATGTACAGACATGTTTAAATTTGAATCAGCTATTCCAATTTTTATTTTGAATGCTAAGGACTGTTGGCAGTCATACCCGATTTAAAAAAAAACAAAAAAAACTTAAGGCAATCCATGTAGTTTATGTTGTCCGGTTTTTTTAAAGTTAACACAGCTTTACGTATGTCTAGCTAGAATTTTTTATTTGCAAATGTGTCAATAATCTGAATATTTAATAAACATTGAGGGATCAAAAAATAGATTTTACAATATTTATTTATAGGTTTACTTAATTTTTTGTGTGTTCATTTGTGGTATTTACACAATTTTTAAAAAGGAAAAAATATATTTTAAATTGACTTTGAAAATTAAATACTTACAAGGCTAAAAAAATAACTATACACGAGGTTGAAGTAAATGGAAGTTACATCCACAGACAATCCGCAAAGACTATAAAGTAGATAACGTTGTTATTTTATTTTTTTCACTTCCAAAAAATATGAATATTTGTTTCAATAGAAATTTAAGGTAAACAATTCATTTTTAAAAAAATTAACCATGAGCATAATGTCCACTGAATTTGAATACTTTGATTATGACAATGATATATATTTTATATTAATGTGAAAGATATTTATTTTGCTTGATGGACTTATACAATTTTTAATGATATTTAATTTGAGTGTTTAGTAAATGAATCAATTCCAAACTGTCTATTGCAAAATTTACTTGCATCAATAATTCTTTTTGCAAAAGTTGTGTGATGAAAAAATAATTCAATCTCATTGATTTTTTTTCCTAATTATTTAATCTTTAATTTGGGCCAATTATTCATTTGATATTTCATTTGAATAATTTATCAGCCTGAATTTTTGTTTGCATAAACCAGCTATTAGATCTTTAAAATGGCATACATTATTTAATTAATGTTTTAATTAGGCTAAATTTATTTATATGAGCATATTTTGCATAAATAAATGATCTGAGCTTATTTTGTTTATAAATGAACTTAACTGCAAAACATTATTTGATTTTTTTTTGGAAAATTTTCTTTGCTTGCCAATGCTGTTAAAAAACAATTATTTCTCACATCCATGCATTTATGTAACTCCATAACGCTAGTGGCCCTACAATAAATGTGTTAATCTGGTCAGCATTAAGAATACTTATTCATGTTTTGAAACATATGACATTACTGGCATACTCCGTGTAATAATGATAACCTTACAATATTTTATATGAAATGTATTGAAACAACTGAAGCCATGTATGATAGTTATAATGTGAAATTGTACAGAACCATAGTGTGAAAAGGACCTATGCAATTTTAACCCAACCGGTGATCTTGAAATAAATATGATGATAACTTTTAACTTTTTCAACTGATCTATTTAATCAATATGTAAACTCTGGAATAATATATGTGAGACCCGATTATCAGAGATATGTATCTTAAACAAATAATAAAAATAAAAAATTTAAACAAGATGTTTTTAAAATAAAATTTACTTTTATTAAGTTTTGATTAAACAAAACAAATGAATGACACTTTTTTTTTTAAAACTGACCTTTAAAGATGATGTCAGCTGTGTATAAGAAAGAATAAATATTTTGCTACGTAGAAGCTGTTCCCTTCCATTAAGTGTAGTTTAGTTAAACTATCAACTTTTAAGATTTCATCACACAGTGTTTCCAATTTAAAAAAAAAATAAATAAATACATTTTATATGAGTTTTAAAATGAAAAAATTTCTAAACAAGTACTGCTAAAAGAATTTACCACAAGTATTCGAAAACTTTAAAGAAATATACCTCTAAGAAAATATTAGCACATGATATAAAAACCAGCAGGAAAAAAAAAATACATTAGGTCCTTAACATACCAGAATACACGATTAGAGAGTCGAAAGGTCATAATGACACTGGTTTTTGAGGCAATAGTCTGACCCTCCATTTATCTCAATCCCATATCATGAGATCATAAGCTGTTGTTAAAATACTGTTTCTCTCCTCCAACATCCATGTACCGGTATTAAAATATCACAATTGTATTTTTAAGAATCATATTTTAAAAACATCAAAACAAATCATAGGGAATAAGTTATCCAAAATGGCAATATGTCATATTTGAAAATATAGAAATAAATGGTCTATAAATACCACTAAAATCAAACAAAGTAAAATAAATAAAAACATTTTTTTTCTTACAACAGTCCGTAATCAACATAATAACAAATGGTGTTCAGTGGCTTTTGAAAATATATTGTAATTGTTCAAATATCTTCTTTATACTAAAAATAGAAGATTTATATAAACAAAAAGGAAGTTTTACCCATTATTTCTCACAAAATAAAATTTCTTTTAAAGCACTTACAAATAAAAAAATTGAAAATAGATGAGAAACACAAAAAAATTTGATTTATAAAATTGACTTATCTTCCAAGGGCAGCAGCAATCCTTACTCATAAAAATTAAATGTTAGTTTTTTTTATTTATGAACATAAAAAATGAAATATATAAGTTATATTTTGAAAATGCTACATCAGAGCGAAATTGTAATCTGTCATGCTCTATCATCTCAGCCTGAGTCTGCAAATTCAGATTTAGTTTACAAACCATCTATTTAGTTTTTCTTTATTCTTGCTTTAATTTATAAAATTATGGTCAAATGCACATTAAAAATTTCCTTGGCGATTTGTATTACAGTAAAATTTATACAACTGGATAATTATTTATAAATCACTAAAGATGAAAAATGACCCTGGAGTATTCAGTTAGTTACGACTGGAAGAGCTGCAAAAATTTATTAAATAAGGGAATAAAATCTAAGACAAGGACCAAGACAATCATCAAAGCAAGTTTTTTTGTGTTATTTTTTGTAATGCTGTCAAAGGGAGAAAACTTTGATGGCAGTAAACAACAATTTCCAGAACATGGGTTTAAATTGTAATTTGGGGAGGACTGCTTTCAGAGTAAGGGAGACCATAACAGACCACAAATCAATTGATGTTTCCATCTCCCTCAGATTTCCATGCCTCACTCTATCATAATAACCTTTTGATTTCCCTCATATATTATTTTATTTTAAATATTTTAAGATTTCCTGTTAATCTCTTACCCAAATTTTTTTAGATTTCTTTGGACTCTTTTGCAATCAAATACAATTTCCTGTTTTCTGTCTCTACTAATTACTACTATGAGTTAAGTTTATCTTTCTGTTCTCTTTATCTCTCACTTTTTTTTTTAATAAATCTTTTTTTGTTGCTGTAATGCTTCTGAGTCAAAACTAACTTACATTGATCTTAAACCAGAACTTTACAACTGATTAAGTTAACCTCAAATCCAAGAGAGCATTTTATTAAAACTTAAACTTCCTTTCAAAATAAAAACAGAAAAAAAAAAAAAGAAACTTAAGTACAAAAAATGTAGTTAAATTAAAAAAGAACATACCCAAGGCGTGAACCACAGGTGACTAGGCTTCTTTTTTAAATTTGTTGCTTTAATGCTTCTGAGTCAAAACTAACTTACATTGATCTTAAACCAAAACTTTACAACTGATTAAGTTAACCTCAAATCCAAGAAAACATTTTATTAAAACTTAAACTTCCTTTCAAAAAAAAAACAGAAAAAAAAAAAAAAAAGAAACTTAAGTACAAAAAATGTAGTTAAATTATAACAGATCATACCCAAGGCATGAACCACTGGTGACTAGTCTTCTTTTTTAAAACTGGATTCACTGGCGGCAGCTGAGAGAACTTTATTCTCAGTGGAGTGGGAGGATGATGAAAGCACAGTGGTGGGGTTGAGGTCTTGGCTGCAGTCATCTTGGATAAACTTGAGGAGGTGCTCATTCAACAGTGCTGGCCTGTCTATATCAATCGCATGCCCGCAATCGTCAATGATGTCCACATAGCGACAGTTTGGCAGCCTCGAGCGTAGGTATTCAGCACCACTCACATGAATGAGCTGTGGACACAAACAGAGAGACCAGTTCTTTAAATATGGAAATAAACATTGGCCTTGCAAAATACACAAACACCAACCACATCCCCCATTCACACACTGCCTTCTCATTTCTCAAAACACCACCCCACCGGATCACACACTGCCTTCCTGTTTCTCAAAACACCACCTCACTGGATCACACACTGCCTTCCTGTTTCTCAAAACACCACCTCACCAGTTCACACAATCTCCCCATTTCTCAGAAAACCGTCCCACTGGTTCACACACTGTCTCCCCATTTCTCAGAAAACCATCCCACTGGTTCACACACTGTCTCCCCATCTCTCAGAAAACCATCCACTGGTTCACACACTGTCTCCCCATTTCTCAGAAAACCATCCCACTGATTCACACACTGTCTGCCCATTTCTCAGAAAACCATCCCACTGGTTCACACACTGTCTCCCCATCTCTCAGAAAACCATCTCACTGGTTCACACACTGCCTCCCCATCTCTCAGAAAACCATCCCACTGGTTCACACACTGTCTCCCCATCTCTCAGAAAACCATCCCACTGGTTCACACACTGTCTCCCCATTTCTCAGAAAACCATCCCACTGGTTCACACACAGTCTCCCCATTTCTCAGAAAACCATCCCAATGGTTCACACACTGTCTCCCCATTTCTCAGAAAACCATCCCAATGGTTCACACACTGTCTCCCCATTTCTCAGAAAACCATCCCAATGGTTCACACACTGTCTACCCATTTCTCAGAAAACCATCCCAATGGTTCACACACTGTCTCCCCATTTCTCAGAAAACCATCCCACCGGTTCACACACTGCCTCCCCATTTCTCAGAAAACTATCCCAATGGTTCACACACTGTCTCCCCATTTCTCAGAAAACCATCCCACTGGTTCAAACACTGCCTTCCCATTTACTACTTATAAGAAACTCTACAACACTGTTTATCCCGGATGACCCCAAACTTTAAAGAAAGGAACAATCACTCTTTGTCAATGGCCTGCCAGTCTAGTCTAGTCATCCCCATGCAGTTACCTCATCATTCCTGCCCCATATCAGCTGTGATGGAATGGTGATGCCAGGGGCAGTTTTGGCCAGCAGGTCGATATGTTCTTCTGTGGCTATGGCCTTAAACACTGGGTAAAGGAAAAGCATTTAACGTTATCAGGTACAGGCAAAATCTTTTAAGAAAATTCATTATTTTCAGTTTGTATTTTAAAACTGTATGATACAACCAAGCAATATAAGGCAAAAATAAACCAAATAATAAGTGCTGGTAAACATGTCAGAGCTCCAGAGTAACTATAGGTGACTTGTGTGTTGATTGGGTCAAGTAGACTGGAAAAAACACTTGAACTTTGGGCTGGATATATAAGTTAATTTGTTTAAAGCCTTAACAATGCTTACATCTTAAATAAAAATCCAATTTTGTTAGTCTCAAGTTCAGAAATCCTTGCCAAAACTGTGGAAATAGTAAAGAATTTTTTGTGATTAAAGTGGAAATTAAACAACATTATTTTTGTGTCGTCGCCCCCCCCCCCACTTTTTTTTTCCAGTGTTAAAAGCACTCTGGTCTAACTCTAAAAGCTCAATGTTAGTTAAATCAACAAGATTCATAAATTATACTTCAATTACAGAAACATAATACATAATGACTAATATACACTGCCTCACATACAAACACTGTTTAAATACATTCCACTGTCTCACATTGCAAACAATGTCTGGCAGACTCAGATATACAAACCTGTTCACTAATTTTCATGACATCCTTATTGTAACAACAGGCGTCAAATAAATTTTTCAGGCCCTGGATGTCATTAGCCAGGAGTATACAATGCTCATGAGAAATATTATCGGGACCAAGCTGAATGGCTTCTTGCATTTGGATCGCAAAGCTGCTGTCAATGGGAGTCTTCACTGCAAACAAACAACAGGAATTTCATTTCTCCAGTTATTATCAAAGCTATCTGAACATATCAGGAGATGGATGTCAGCCAATAAATTGAAAAAATACAAACGTTAATACAGCTAGTGCTCAACTTACCATCACGATCGGTTCCGACAGACCAGTCGTAAAACGATTTGGTCGTAAGTTGAGTACGCTATGAGTACAGTAAGGTAAGGTTATAAAAATATTTAAGTTAAATTTCTTTTATTATTGTTATAAATCATAATTTTCAAAGTGGTCGTAAAGTCGAATGGTCGTAAGTCGAGTACTAGCTGTAGTGTAGAAACACAACAAATAATCAAATATTTTAAATCATGAAAATGGTGTGGGCTTCGAAAAATGGATAATACTCTCATCTATTTTGTGTCCAAGACACCTGATATGCTTTCCTAAATATCACATCTAGGACATATGTTCTACTTTCCTCAATTACATCTCCAAGACACTTAATCTACTTTTTTATAATTTCTTGTCCAGGAAACAAGCTTTAACCCTCTTGGCATGGAGGCCTTTTGGACTGTTAGTGAGACAGGCCCGTTTCACAAGCCCTACACTTACTTTGCAAAATATTTTATTAAAAAAAAAAAAAAATTACTGGTGGAATTTAAAACAATAGCATTTATAAAACTATGTTAGGCATAGAAGTAAAAATAGCCAATCTTGGAATTTCAACCGACGTTACATGAAAAAAGACATATTATTTGATTTAGCATCATTTTTGCCGATTTCCTTTGAAATCTGCTTTCTTGAAATATATTTTTTAAAACTAATTATCTACAGTGTTGATTTTTTTCTAAGGAAAACCTTTAAAAATTACTTAAAAAGCTCATTTTAAAGATATACATACAAAATTATGTAACTGATGTAACATGACCGGGAAACTGATGTAACAAGTCTGAATGCACACCATCAAAAAAATAACAAAAATGTCAAGTCTTCTACAGATTCACAAATACTTCACTGCAGCAGTTACACTAACTTAAATAAATAATAGTGTTTTAATGCTCGCTCATCATGTGACATTGACCATAACAATGACAATTTCCTATGTTTATTAGATGTAAACACACAATAAAATCCACACAAAAAACAAAAAACTCCTATTACACTGTGCAGACATGTTCTTAATTCAAGTTGGCCACCAGGTCACATGTCACAAAAGACAAAGATACTATAAATGACTCCATACCAAGATGCATGAAATAAATCTATATCACACCAAATTTTATGCAATTAAATTGTTGGACTTTGTGTCCACTTTCATATAGAATTTACCTGATGCAAGTGAATAACCCTGATAAATTTTATATGTTAGGTAAACATTATTACAAAAGTATACATTGGATAAAATGCATGAAGCTTTCATATTTAAATATTAAAGTTCATTATGTCAATCTTCTTTCTTAATCTATGAAATTTTTATCTATACAGACAGAACAGAATACAAGTGAAATGAATTAGAATGTCTTAAATAATGCTAAAGAAATTAGTGCAAAAGCTTTTTAGTCATAATTCGGAAATAGCCTGTTTGCTCAGCAGATGAAGCTAATAATTTTTTTTGTTAAATCTAGAACATAGATAACTTACTAGCTGGACACACCATGGTGACCTTCTCCACATTGTCTGGATAATAGGCCGCGTACAGACCAACAATGGCACCTCCCATGGATGAACCAACCAGGTGGATTTTTTGGTTAGACAGACCAACAAGATCTAGAAACTGTTAGTAAGCATGTGTTATACATTGATCTAGTTTTGTCATGCCTAATAAGATACTTAGTTTTATTAAAGAACTTGATAAAGTTAGTTACATACTCTGTTGAATTGACTTGGACTAGTTAGGGACTTACTTTGTTATAAGATTGACTACTTGGTAAAAATCAGTGACTAACTAACTTTGTTGAGACTAACCATTTGGTCTGATCAGTGACTAACTCTCTGCAGACTGACCACTTATCAGTGACTTACAGTGTTAAAAAAAATGTGACCACTTGGTCTGATCAGTGTCTTACTTTTTTCAACGAGCCAACCACAAACTCCAAGCCAATTTCTACATCATCTCCAGGTTTGGAAGAGAAGCCATGACCAGGCAGGTCTAGTGCAATCAAATGAAGATCTTTTGGTAAACCCTGAATAAGAGAAAAAAAGGAAACTTTTTTTATGAAGATTTTCGATAAACTCTGACTGAGAAGAAAAAAGAAAGAACGAAAAATTCCACATTTTATTTTTATTTATTGAAAGATTGTAAAATAACAAAATTAAAATTAAAACTGTGTTAAGCTATTTTGTTTTTGTATATCAGATTTAAAAAAAAAAAGAATATAATTAAAATAAATATGCAATTTAAACACAAACATTAGCTAAAATTCATGCTATGAATAATTATGTGCATTTCAACCACTTAAAATCATGTTGAGAAAGGAAATAAATATCAACTAAAAATATTACTTTTAAATTAAATTAATTATGAAAACAAGGTAAAGGCCTACTCTAAAACAAGGAATCCATTGATCTTTAGATGAGGAGAATCCATGAACAAAGACAAGGCTCGTTCTATTTGGTTGTGGAGCATTTCTTTCAGCGTAACAAAATATGAACTCTTCATTTCCAATGTACTTTATATACATTCCAGCACGATGTTGTCGAATCCTGAAATAAATAAGTAGTTCTTAGTAAAAGATATTTTTGTTAAATTTAGGCATCAATTTGAATAATTCTATAAGTCTTCATCTTACCAAAATGTCTTTCTAAAAAGAAATTAGTCCAAAATCATCAAAATGTTACAAAAATAAAAGAAAAAGAAATTATAATTATCACTTAAGTCTTAAGTCTTAAGTTTAATGGTTTGGGAATGCCAGTATTAAATTACAAATCTGTTTAGTCCATTCTGTAAGAATTAAGTCTAATTGCTTTGAAAAACTGTTCTTAAAATTGCTACTTTACCTAAAGCTGAGCTGTACAAGATAATGAGGAAATAAGAAGAAAATGATTAAGAGGCCACAGGTTGGTAATGTAATTAATGCAATTATTATTCCAATTATCAGCATCCATGTTGCCATTGTTGTAGAGTAGTCAAACAATTTTTGTGTGAATTTTAAACTCAGCCCCTGGGGAAAAAAAGAGAGAGTGGTCAATTTTATAAGGGTATGAGTGCTTTTAGTATTAGGTTAAAGCAATAGACTTAGAAAATGTAAAACACAGGGTAGGGGAAAAATGAGAAAATAGATTAAATTAATTAAATTAGTATACTAAAATGTAGGCCTATACTATTTTTTAAGTAGCCTAGCAGGTAGGCTTAAAATACATCCTTACTTAGTTTCACTTGAACTATTAAGATTTAAAAAATCAGTTGCTGCACTCCACTGTTTATTTATTTTTATTTTATTATTATTTTTAAAAATATTTTTAGGGCCCACGGTCAATAGACTCCTGGTTTTGAAATCAGAGTTTGCCTTCTGTTAGATGAGTTGCCGTCCAAGGCTAAAGGGTCCCATCCACCCAGGATGCTTGGGATATTTCTGCTTGTGTTTCTGCTTTGTTGGGGATTGAACTCCAGACCACCAGCTTTTTGGATTGAGTCAGTTTAGACTCATCAGCCACCCAAATTATTTGTAATATTTTATTAGAATTTTAAGTAAGCTAATATTTATGTAACATGTACTATTAAATTACCAGTTCTTTGACTATACTTATCTATGAACTATGAAGATAAATTATTTTCAAAAAATAAAATAAAATGGGGCTGTCAAATTTCAATAGTCTACTTAAATAGGAAAAAAAAAAATATATATATATATATTATTCTCAATGATTTTGTTTGTTTTATTTGTTTAAGAATTTCAGTACAGGCAACTATTAAGTTAAAAGTCTGTTACCTATCTGTTACCTATACTATACTATTATTATTAGGCTGCGGCTTTTCGGACCCAGGATTCAAGAGTGAGAGGAGGTTGGGTTTATAAAAAATATTTAAAATATTATTGTTTAGTTTGTAAGGCAAAATTTGGTATCAAAAGAAAGATAATTGAATGGACTATTTTTTGCTATTCAGACCCACGTCCCTTTAGACTAAATGCTGTTGGGATGTCATTTGTGGTAGTTTATATTAGTTAAGTTAAACTGAAGAAGTAAGTTTACAGACATATGAATATGACTATGTGACATGTGTATGATACTAAGAATAATTCATTTCCATGATATAGGCCATTCAATTTTCTTTCATTTGATAACAAATTTTGTTTTATTATAAAAATAAAACCCAACAATAATATTATAAATATTTTTTTATAAACTCAACCTCTCATTCTTCTTCAGGTCCGAATTAATAACGAATTGGCTATTCGGCGAAAAGCCAATTCGTTATTATTATCCCATTTATTAATTTTCATATTTAGTTAATTTAGTATTTAGTCTGATTAGTCTCTCTTAGTCTTAGATTTTTACTTTTAATATTGGTGTTTGGCTCTAGTTCTTGTTCCAAGTTAGACTTTGCCTACTCAATAAATTAATGATAATGACTTAAATTTTAAATGAGTTCCAATTTCAATTAGTTAGTGTAGCCGATTTTTTGAATAAACAGAATGAATACATACACTTTCTTTACACTCCATATCATCATTACAGAATAGCCTGGCATGAAAATGAAATATTTAAAATTTAATGTATTACACTAAGTCTCTTTGTTAGTAAGTAATTAAAAATGAATGTCGTACTTACGTATTAATTAGTAACTAGTATTCTGATGTAACTTGTAACGTAACATTAGGTACTCATTAGACTTCATTAGTAGTTAGTAGCAATCCTGTTCTGTAAAGCTGGGCCTGCGATGTCGATGTTGTAATGTTAGAAGTTCGAGGACATATATTTATCATTTTTTGCAAAACATATTTTTAAAAAGTCAGCCGGTTACTTCAATTTGAAGTTCCAGATATTATCAAAGTCTCAAGAGTTATAGGCTATTTAAAATGTGGGTCCAAAGGGCACTTAGACTTAGATGAAGTGGGTAGTCAGAGACCGGCGGTAGAGTTCTAAATTTAGTCACGGCCGTTTGTTGATTTTTTCGTTTTAATAATTTTTCTTTTTTTTTTTTAAATTTCGGGAATACCCGAACAAATTATTAAAAATGGTCAGAGATAAATTAACTATTAACAAACTTCAATTTTGTGCATCTTATATTCGTTTTTAAAACAGACATTCATTAAATAAAAGAATAAGTAGTCGTAGTACTCGTAGCGCAGAAATTTTGTAAAGTTCTATTACTATTACTATTATTTATTCCAAGGAAATTACTATAAATAAGGGGAAACGTGCAACCAATAGAAAAAAAAATTAGATTCAGTCCCAGAATACTTTTTTATAATTTGATCAATTTTGATCATTATTTGTTCGTACATTTATGTAACTAGACGCGTTTCTGCGTCCATTAATTAACGATGGATTTATTTTGAAATCGAGAATAGCGTTTCATGATAACTTAATCTGATAACTGATTGTTATTTTGTATTTAAATTTTAAAGATTCTAGAAATTCGAGATATTTCCACAATGACTAGTTAGTAGTATTAGTAATAGGGAAAAAGAAATATATATTTAATCTAAGTTCTAAGAGGAACAAATTTAATAGATAAAAATCTGTTTAATTTCCAAAACCATTCGCTATTTTTAAATCCTTAAATTTAAATTAATTAGCTTCGCTTTTGATCCTGGTTTTGTTTAAGCTAAATATTGCGAAGTCTAATTACCCCATAATTCTATCGAGTTGAAAATTGGTACATGAAATTTGAAATAGGCCTACTCATATACTCGTTGCCGCTTAAAACACATTCTGTCATATCTTTAGCCCCATTCAACCACCACCATCCCTTCCACATTCAGTTTTAACGCTACCAGATGTCAGTGTTTACACGAGCTAAAATTCCAGATGACTGCGCTAAATGAGATTGTTAAAAAATATTGCAGGTGCGTTAGGGGCGTAATAGTTGTTTTTTTTTTTGTTTACAAGAAATAGTGTAATAAAACTTCGGTATAAAAGCGGGTGGGAAATTATTATTATTAGAATATTACTATAGTTCAGGTGAGGGAAAAAATATGCGGTAGTGAGCCTTGGAGTGGTGGTGTTGGGGAGCACGAATTATTAGGATTATTATAAAGTGCGTTACTTGAATGCCTGTTTTTAAAATTTTCAGCTCCACCCACCATTGCCCAATATTAAATTAGAGAGCAGATTAATACCAAAATCTTTCTTTTTAAGGATTGTTTTAATTGTTGGTCTAGGACTTAGGGCACTACTTTCTTTCAAGAAAATTTCAGGTAAAAAAATATTGACCAAGACCAAACTTTTGCACAACTTCTGAGCCACCTGACAGATTTTAAGTAGATTTAGTTGGGATATTTCGTTTTACTTATATCAGATTTGCGCTAATGTTACGATGAATTAGAAAATTGGAGTGAACCATGTTACATTTTTACACAAGATAAATCCCCATATTTTCAACACAAATGCATGTCAATGTGTAATACCTCCAAGAAGCATAGTTTTTTGTTTGTTTTTTTTTTACTTCCGCTATTTTCTCCGCTAAACCTGCCCTTTAGCCGCATAAGGTTTTGTCGAAATTATACCGGGCTATAGACTCTCAAACTTGTCAAATGAAAGACGCAGGGCTTATGTGGTCCTCGGGCCTTAAATTGTCACCCCTTGATGGCCCCATGGGTTTTGTATCATTAAACTCATGATGTCACTGCCTCCAGACTTCCCGTCCGACCACTTTCGAGTCTGTTTTCTCGGGTGCCTCACGGCTCTGAGGGCACTCTGCTCTGGTGACATCCTACTATGGTGACAACTAGTTCTAGTGGCAACCTGTTCTGGTGGCTAGCATCTCTCGAGGCATTCTGTTATGGTCTAACTTTCCACTGGTGGCAGACTCTTCTGGCTACTAATTGTTCTGCTTGTAAGTCTTTCTGTTGACATTAAATACGAAACAGCTTCGAAGTAACTCTGTTAAAATTGGAATATAAAAAAAAAAAATACATACAAACATACAAACAAACAAACACACGCACGCACATACATGCACACTGCCTTTTTAATAGCATGTTCCACCAAGTGACAGCGCTTCTCGTGCAGACACAAAGCTAAGGCCTTTAGTGCGGTCCTCAACCCTCTGCACCTCCTAACTACGCCACTGCATATTGTGTACACATTTATATAAATATACCGATATCTCAACCTCAAGGGTGTTGTAAATTATAAATTAGATTCGATTTTCTTTCCAATTTTGGCCAAAGATACACTTCAGGGGCGAGGAGAAGGGATAGCGCCCCGTGTTTATGTGGACAACGATTTGTTAGTCTAAAAATATGAATTTTAAATAATTCCTGAAAATACATTTCAAGCTCGAAAGAAAGAAAATAAGGATATTTTGATGCGAATAAAAAATATTTAAAAAAACACAATAATTTTGAGACAAATGAAAAGTAATATTAAAAAATTTCGAGCAATTGAAAAAAGGTTATATTTTTTAATATTATAAAATGTATTTTCGGCAATTGAAAAAAGATTATAAAACATTTCAAGGAAATGAACATTAGATTTTTCTTTATAAATAAAAACAAATAATATGTTTCTCCACTTTGTTCATGGAAAGGTAATTAAAAAATAATAATAATAATAATAATATTTCTCAAAACACAGGGCAATTAATAAAAGACGTGAAAATTGGTTAAGAGATTTCTCTTTAGATACAAGAATTTTATGTTGTACGTTTTTCCGATAATTTAGGAACGAGGCAAAAGAAATATGCATGTAATGTGTTCCATTGCCCGAAATTATAATTCAGGGGAGTGAACAACGGTGTGTTAAGATTTTCTTTATAAAAAAGGTTCTTTCCCCTTCGTTCATAAATTATTTTAATTAAAAAAATAAAATTTATAATATATCTTTAAACACATAAACTCTTAAAAACATGACAATTGGTAAAGAGATTTTTTATCGATATAAGAATTTAGTGTGTTACGATTTTCTGATAATATAGGTGAGGAGCGAGGCAAAATGTATAGTACATATTTTTGAAGATACCAATATATCAAAATTCGTTTATGTTACACATATTAAAAAATTTTTCTTTGTTGCTTCTTTTTTTTTTTTTCCCCGGTGTGATAAAAGGTTGTGATGCATTTCAAGGGCGTGAACAAAATGTTTGTATTATTTTTTTAGGACACCATACATCAAAACCAGATTCGGTTATATACGTAAAATCCGGATTTTCCGATGTGGATACTCCGAAATAGCATGTAGAAGGTAGCGCAACAGTCCAGCCATTATTATCCCGGAAACACGTTTATATCTCCTATAATAATACTTACATCGGTTTTCCTCATAACGTCTCATTTTTTTGGTCTTACCTTGTACATATAAATAATATGTGATAAAAAAAGAATCTATTATCTCATAGGCCTATCGAGATTTTCTCAAAATCTTCTTCTTATATTTGAGGTGCCCACGATCAATTTGTTGATCATTCTGGCTCCTGGTTTAAATTCAGAGTTTGCCTTCTCTTAGATGGGTTGCCGTCCAAGGCTAGCGAGTCCCATCTACCCGGGGTGCTTGGGATGATTTGCTTTTGGTGGGGATTGAACTCCAGACCACCAGCTGTTTGGTTTGAGACCGTTTAGACCGCTCGGCCACCCAGCACCCAAAATGATTTATTAAATACACCAAACATTCACCCCCACCCCCCTACAAAAATAAATTATAATAAACGCCTACGCATTTTCCAAGCAAGTTTTCACTGCTGACCCTTCTGATGAAGGCATCTTGTAGATGGTATCATGACCTTGACAGAGGAACATGACCTTTAAGGGAAACATTCCCAGTTAAAAGCAGGACAGTTCATTAAATATCTGTGTTCATGAACAAAAACTAACCAGGTGTGTCCATTACTTCGATGTCATAACCAGGTGTGTCCAGCACTTATATTTCACACCCAGGTGTGTCCTGTACTTCGATTTCATTACCAGGTGTGTCCTGTACTTAGATTCCATAACCAGGTGTGTCATGTACTTAGATTCCATAACGAGGTATGTCCTGTACTTAGATTCCATAACGAGGTATGTCCTGTACTTAGATTCCATAACCAGGTGTGTCATGTACTTAGATTCCATAACGAGGTATGTCCTGTACTTAGATTCCATAACCAGGTGTGTCATGTACTTAGATTCCATAACCAGGTGTGTCCTGTACTTAGATTCCATAACCAGGTGTGTCATGTACTTAGATTCCATAACCAGGTGTGTCATGTACTTAGATTCCATAACGAGGTATGTCCTGTACTTAGATTCCATAACGAGGTATGTCCTGTACTTAGATTCCATAACGAGGTATGTCCTGTACTTAGATTCCATAACCAGGTGTGTCATGTACTTAGATTCCATAACCAGGTGTGTCCTGTACTTAGATTCCATAACCAGGTGTGTCATGTACTTAGATTCCATAACCAGGTGTGTCATGTACTTAGATTCCATAACGAGGTATGTCCTGTACTTAGATTCCATAACGAGGTATGTCCTGTACTTAGATTCCATAACGAGGTATGTCCTGTACTTAGATTCCATAACCAGGTGTGTCCTGTACTTAGATTCCATAACCAGGTGTGTCCTGTACTTAGATTTCATAAACACCAACACCAAACCCATACAACAATAGCAACAGCCGTGACAACCGTGAAGACATCATCCCATTGACCAAGACCAGGCCACACTATTCACATTGAAACCCAAATAACTTGATGTTGATTTAAGTGGTTTTTCGTATTAGTTATTGTTTTGTACTTTTTTTTGTTTTTTGTTTTTTTTCATTCAAACTACAATCCAGGCACCAGCAATGTCAGTGGGACAATGAATCGACTCCACCAAGTGTCTGAGGGACAATGAACTGACTCCACCAAGTGTCAGTGGGACAATGGACCGACTCCACCAAGTGTCTGAGGGACAATGGACCGACTCCACCAAGTGTCTGTGGGACAATGAATCGACTCCACCAAG